CGGCAGAAGCTGAAGAAGACATTCCAATATGAAGTGTAAGTTCATGGCCTAGTCATCCGTCGCCTTTTCCCCTCCATTTGGTGTATATCTCTAACAATTATCCAGAAAATGGGTCGGCATGCTGCCAAGACACAATTCCTTCCTCTCCCGCGAATACCTCATGGAACAAGGCTTCCAAAAGCTCATCCAGGAATACGACGACCACGAAGCCTCCCGCGAGGGTCTCGGCTACCGTGTTCTCGAGCCCAAAGTAATCTCAAAACACTTCGAAGACGTCGGCCTCGATCCCGAAATCGCAAACCACAACGAAATTTCCGGTCTGTCCGGTGGCCAAAAGGTCAAGGTCGTCCTTGCCGGTGCCATGTGGAACAACCCCCATTTGCTCGTCCTCGACGAACCGACCAATTTCCTTGACCGCGACTCGCTTGGTGGTCTCGCCGTCGCTATCCGTGACTACAAGGGCGGTGTGGTGATGATTTCCCATAACGAGGAATTCGTTGGCGCGCTGTGCCCTGAGCAGTGGCATATTGAGGATGGCCGGATGACGCATAAGGGATCCGTGGCTGTCGCGCTGGATCGGTTTGAGGACAGCTCGCGCGCACCAAGCACCGTGGCCAGCAGCGTTGTGAGCAGCGCTGCGCCGTCCGCTGTTAACTCCGGTGCCGAGGATGAGAAGGGGGAGCTGAAATTCCGCGCGAAGAAGAAGAAGAAGATGACCCGCGCGCAGATGAAGGAGAGGGAGGTGCGGAGAAGGTTGAGACATATTGAATGGTAGGTTTACTCCATTTTTCTTTCTATGACTCTGGAAATCCCAGCAGCTACTGACACATAATCTCTTTTTGCAGGCTCAACTCTCCCAAGGGCACTCCCCATCCTCCAGATACGGATGATGAGGCATGATCAATCAGCCCCCCGCGGACATGTTTCTTAATCGTCTGATAATGATAAACCCGTAAAGGACGAACGACATTCAAAAGTTTTTGATTTTGTGTTATTTCTTGGCTGGATCCAACCCGATTGGGATGGGATGGGATATATATTGGGCAGACTTTTTGTCTTTTCTTCTTCTTCGTCATATATACGTCCTCGAACGTTTGTATCTTCCCATGCCTACCCTCGTGCATGCCATTTGATTCCCTGTTTTGTTTTGTTTTATCTGTTTAGTTCGTGTGTTGTCGTTCTGACCCCCATGACGACGGTAATGATGATCTTCCTCTACATTTCCTATGCGATAGATAGACATATGGGCATGGCGTTAAATATTCGTGTGTCTGAACTTGTTAATATGCGTGTTACGATCGATGCCTTTGATTTTTTTTCACTTGGATGATAGCCTAGATATAAAAGACTTCGTTTTTCTGTTTTTGGATTTGATATAACTACATATATATTCTGCCTTTTCAAAGCTCTGCGCCTGCCCGCTTCTTTCTTCTCTTCGCAGCACCACCACCTCCGCCGGCCGGGGCTCCCTTATCTTTCTTTGCTACCACCTTTCTCTTGCGTAAGCCACTCTTTGGCACCTCTTCAGGTGTCTCCGCATATCTCTTGAGGTTATCGAGCAGGTCAGGATCTTTCTGTATCTCCACCGGGTCCAACAATGTCTTATCTAGAACAACTGGCTTCACATCGAGATGCCCTTCTATGGTCCGTTGAAGTTGAACCTTACGAAAGTTGAGTGTGTACTGCCCAAGATCCTCAGCCATATTTTCCGGCCACACCTCCCATCCAGCATCACTGATAAGTGCCCCATACCTTACAACGTCGTCCCAGGCTTCATTCAACTGCATCTGATTAGGATCGGGTTAGCACTCGGCATCACAAAGTAGAATGAACTAATATCAAGAACAGGCATTTAGAAAGCAGCATACCTGCGAATTCAAAGTGCGCTCTTGGTGACCTTTGGGCCGAACAGTCGACTTAGTTGAAAACCCATAGCAAAGGGTGTTGATAAGCAGTTGTTTCAAACGCCGGTACTGGAGGAGTGCTCCAAATATAGCCCCTTCTTCACGGAGCTGTTCTTCCATGTGGAGGATGGGCAGTTCGGGATACTTTTTCGGGTCATAGTTAATTGTGATTTGTGAGTCTGCAGTTTGAATGCTGCAGGGTGTCGCGAGCCTCATCTTATCCTGCGATAGGTCAGTGATAACTAGTATGATAACAGATGTGCTTATCAAATTAACCCACCAGCATCTCATCGTCGTTGAAAACAGCCATACAACCAGCAAATGGGAGCATTTGATGCTCTTTGCATATTGGGATCAACTGATGCCAGTGAGGCTCCCTAAACTTGGACTGATACGCGGTGGCCTCGTCGCTATCCGTCGGGCAGTCAAGCTGCGTAATCCTGCCCGTGGGAAATTCCAACTGTCAATTGCCAGGTCAGCCTTTGAAAATTGAATAAAAGTTCAAGGTCACTTACGTGATTTTTAAAATCTGACCCATCGTTGGAGTCACTAATGTGCTCCCGTAGACGGGTAATTAGCTTCACTGCCCTACCTTGGACATCTCCATCGCCATTAGAAAGGATTTTAGAGATGGCAATGGGCCATTGAAATGACCGATATTCATGGGAAGCATTCGCTGGTACAGTCCAGTCAGGTATGACCCAAAACATAATATGACACAGTAACTTCCGAAGAGGCTCCACAATGGTGTTTAGTGTCTTGATGATTGATGGCCATGTTGGAATGTCGGTGATATCTCCCTCACGGGAGACCATGCGGATTCGGGAAAAGGCAGCCTGGTATTCATCATCAGGGAGCCCGGCGAGGAACCCAGGACGACGAGTGGTGTAATGCTTGCCTCGCCAGTTGTATGCAGGGTTCATGCGCGGCAGGCAACCATCTGGGCCACCTTTAAAATACATCTCATCGACTCCAAGTTTCCCCTTGAAGGTGAGAATCCCCGCGGTGAAATCATCAGTGCCCGGGAAAAACAAAGGACGAAGCTCATCATCACGTATCGGCCAACCAAATTTCATCAACAGTTCGATATCTGAGGTGGCGACCCTCGACAAACTGTCCCCAAATGACAAGCTGAGGAAGCTGGAATGTTGCTCAAAGATCCGTGTCCAGAACTAACTTAAGTTCAATATGGGGAGTCACAAATATTGGAGAATACAGTAGGAGGATGCATTAAACTCACCTGATCAATTTTACTGCCCACGATTTTGTCAGCTAATGATATTGAGAAGGTCTTCCTCCCATAGGAGGAGGAAACATAATTGGCAAACACTGGGCGCAAGGTATCATTCCGTAAAACAGTGGTCCATCTCCCACTGTTATCTATGTTTGTTCCGAAGGTAGCTGTGATCCAACGAGTAAGCGTTGACTCATTCTTCAGAAGCTTCGAGCGCTCCAAAGCAGACTTTTCCTCAAGACCAACTGCAATTGCTTGAAAACTGTCCCCATCATCACTTGGGCGATAGACATCATGCTTGTTGGCCCTAAGAGAGTCCAGTGCATCTCGGTTGCTGTAAAGGATTTTGGCATCGTAAAATTCACAACACCAGAGGTAACCCTGCAGGCACAATGATTAGTACTAATCCAACTAAATTTCAATCTTGAGGATGTAGGCTAAACTTACATCGTCTGCAACTGGGGCATCAGGGGTTCTCTTTTCCTGGTTGAGCTGGATAAGTGCATGACGACGATGCTGCCCAGCTTCCAATGTAGGGGAGGTCGGCCCGATTGAAGTTGGAAGATCCAGATGCACCATCTGCCGGAGGTCACGAGTGATCCTATGCTTCATCTGCTCAACAGCGGCAATGGCCGTGGCCGTCTCTTCGGGATTATTTTTGACAAACTTGGTGACCATGGCATCAAAATGTTCCTTCGAAATCGACGCCTTGAGGTGGGTATTCACACCACATCGATCAATACCCTTTTTCTGAAACGATGCAATCAACTTGTCGATATGGTCTTCCCGCACTTCCCGATGCTGTACATTCCCGAGCCAGATTGGGTTAAGACCACGAACATCGATCAAGGCGATTCCCATAAGTGCAGCGTCAATAAACGAATTGGTGCCCGCCAGTTCAATGCCTGCTTGGTCGTGTAGGTCATCCGGCAGCGTTGCCGTCGGGGTGGTTTGGTCTGTCATTCTGGTATGTTGTGGTCGCCGAATTGAACGAAAGTTGGATTATTGAGAGATCGTAGCGTAGCAAGGTGCAAGAGAGGAGAAGATGTTCGAATTGATTCAGCCATCTCAGAGGGCGAATTTCACCCCTATTTAATACTTCCTCACGCATGATCGCTCGAGATTGCAAACCTTGGAAAGTGAGAAAAACTACCAATTTAGGTAGGGAAAAACATAAAAATGATCAGTCACTATCAGCCATCAGGAAAAACAGAGAAAAACATGTAGATCTAAAAGCAAAAGACGTACGTAGCTAGCGGCCTGAGGGTTTAAATAGTGCGCCTCCTGGCGTTTTCCTGCAAGCATGCCCATTGTCCACTTGCAGAAGTCTGCTCATCTATCTCTCCCCCTGGTCCCTCTGTTCTGTGGAAATCAATACCTGCATACTCTGGAAAGCAAGATAATTAGTTACAGTGTGGGGTGGACATAATATGGAAAGGATCTGCCTTCTTAGAGTGATGTAGTTCCATGCCATGTCATCATCAATAAAGAACAATACTAGTAGCAATGAATAGGATATGCATAGGAACTTGAAAGCATGTAGAAATGAGAAGAAAGCAGTATGATAGCCATTAAGAATTATCCCTAGCCCATCCTATGACATAGGTATGGATATTAATGGAATAATCTTGGGACATGGTGGCTATCAAGCTGCAAAGGCTTCAAGCAGGTGGCTGGCTGAATCTTATAGGTATGAGGCATGGCATTGCGGTCAGGCATGACACATATCTACGGAAAAAAGAGAAACAAGTCGGGACGCGGGATGACATAATTAAAAATCGATAAACAAAAAATGGAGATGAATAGAAAGATATCATCTAACTACGGGAAAAAAAAAAGAAAAAAAAAGAATATTAACTCCAAGGTCCTGCCCGGGTTCGAACCGGGGTTAGTCGGATATTTGAAATCAGATCAAATCAAAACCGACAGTGATAACCACTACACTACAGAACCCGCTTATGGTTAGCGTTGGGGAATTAGAGATTTATTAGCACAATTCGATGATAGTGGGTTTAAAATATATCTAAGGGGCCCGTGGGGGGCGATGGCCGTGATGGAGCGCTCAAGAAGGGGCAAAATAAATAAATAAATAATGGCAAAAAAAAAAGATAGTGAAGAAATAGAGAAGAAAGGAAAGAAACAAACAATAGAAAGAAAACTAAAACCATGAAATTAGACTTGACCGCATCATGCTTGTTCCCGCCTTCGAACAAGTCTTTGCGGACTTGTTTGCAGAATCTAGTTATCAAATGCGACGAGGCTGTGCCACGACAGCACAGCAGCGGCGTGGGGATATCCGTCCCTCTACGTAGAGTGTACTGTATGCACACGTAGTACCCACAGTATATCCGTTGTTGTCTTTGCATACTAGTAGTTGAAACTGTCAACGGCGGGGTGCCTGCCTGCGGGCGATTTGTTACGTCCCCGTGTTACCATAATATTCCCCGCAAGTGAGAAACCATAGACTTGCTCCTACACAGAAGACAGGTGATAAAACGGCAACGGTATAAAAATAAACAAAGTGGTAGCTGAAACGAAAAATCAAAAAAAAAAAAGAAATTCTACGAGAAGGTCCCGCCCGGAATCGAACCGGGGTTAGTCGGATATTGAGACATCAGAACCGACTGTGATAACCGCTACACTACGGAACCTGTTTTGATATGTTGCACTAGCCCTATGCCACATTATGAAGGTATTGAAGTCTGTTGGTATTAAATACCGTCTGATACCAACAGCGGAAGTTCATCTCATCGCCATTTGGCGATATTTTTGAACACAATTCATGGCTATTGATTACTACCAACCCAGATGTCCCCAGATGTCCCGCGGCACTATCCCATTGCCTTTTCAAATATTCTACCTACTCAGCCTCGGCATGTAGGGATTCTCCATCGGCCATCGTTGCCTGGAGATAGCCACCCCCCAAGACTCGCAATCATATCGTGGGATTGGCCTAGGATTGCGGATCAAATATGTGTGCACCGGGTCTGTCTGGCCATTGGATTTGAAATCTGAACCCCTCTTCAAATCCTCGGGAGCGAACATCTTTCTACTTCTGCATGGAAGGGATCCTGCAGTCTAGTCGATCCAACTCCTACTGGAATGCCGGGAGAGTGATGTCGAACATGACGCTGTACACCCCCCTTGGAGCACACCATTGCGGCCTTGATGCTGCCGCAGACATCTAGAACAACTGGCTTCTGCAGCCAAAGTCAAGAGCAATGGGTACACTCAGCATGGAGCAGTTTATGGACAATTCAGATACCCGTCATTGGACGGGAAATATTTCATGGTTGGCCTTTGGCCATACTTTACTATACAAAAGGGCACTGAACTACTTGTCTCTCGCTTCTTCCTGTTACTTCTGAAGCTGTTGGAGATCGTTAGCCTCTCATTAATGGGGTCATTTCACTGCTGAAGGGTTTGACTGTGTCCTATGCCCCTACTATCCTCTGTGCCTATGTGCTGGGAGATGGCTGATAGGCTGTTACACAGGCTTTGCAGACAGAACCTGTCACAAAGCTAGGGAATGATCGAGTTCTTGCTCAACTATGACAAACTGAAGTTGTTGGTGCCATTACTGGCTCTTCTTAATATGATAGCCTCATGACTATCACTATCATTCTGCTGCCCCACGCACTGAACCCAAGAAGGTATGCTTGGACTTGCCTTGAGCCCATTGAATGCATCTAATATCAACGATCACATTGTTAACAGATTACACTAGCTTATCAAACAAAGTTGTATTGCACTGCAACTACATCCTGAAAACCCTCAACCATGACCACCGACAACGAGAAAATCGAACCCATCTCCTCCCCGTTTCTAGACACCGGGGTCGGGGACAAGGCTTCTCTTGACGAAGATGCCATGAAGCTCGCCGCCATGGGATACGATCAAGCCATGCAGCGCAAGTTCTCCCTTCTCTCCGTCCTCGGCGTGGGCTTCGCCCTCACCAACTCATGGTTCGGCATGTCCGCTGCCCTAGTCACTGGTATCAAGTCTGGCGGACCTGTTCTGATTATTTATGGTATTCCGTGGATCGCATTCATCTCCAGTTGTGTAGCAATTACGCTATCGGAGCTGGCGAGCGCGATGCCCAATGCGGGCGGACAGTACTTCTGGGCTAACGAACTGGCGCCTCGAAAGTATGCGAATTTCGCGTCCTACCTTACTGGATGGTTCGCTTGGGCGGGGAGTATATTTACCTCTGCCAGTGTTGCGCTAGGATTGGCGGCAGCTGGCGTGGGGATGTGGCAGCTGGGTCATCCGGATTTGTAAGGCCATTTACATCCCTCTCTACCGACGCGGTTTAGCTAATATGCAATTTAACAGCGTAATTGAAGCCTGGCACATTGTTGTCGCCTACCAAGTTATAAACACCTGGTGCTTCGTTTTCAACTGCGTCGGCAAACTGCTTCCCAAAGTCGCAACCATCGCTCTCTACATCTCACTTGTGTCCTTCATTGTAACCCTCATCACCATCCCCGCCCGCGCCCCCTCGCACCAAGATGCCAAATTTGTGTTTGCAACCTTCATCAACAACACCGGCTGGTCCTCTAACGGCATCGCCTTCATCGTCGGTCTAATAAACACCAACTGGGTCTTCGCCTGCCTCGACTCAGCCACCCACATGGCCGAGGAGGTTTCACGGCCAGAGAAATACATTCCTATCGCCATCATGGGCACAGTTGCCATTGGCTTCACAACCTCCTGGTTCTACTCTATTTCCATGTTCTTTAGCTTGTCTGACTTTGAACTGCTCATCAGCACACCAACCGGCGTGCCTATTCTCGAACTTTACCACCAAGCCCTCGGGAGTAAGGCGGGCGCCATCGTGCTTGAGAGTCTTGTGCTCTGCACTGGGTTTGGCTGCCAGATTGCTTCGCATACGTGGCAATCGCGGCTTTGCTGGTCGTTCGCACGGGACCGCGGCCTGCCATTCCATTCGTGGCTATCGAAGATTCACCCGACGCTCGACGTACCGCTCATTGCGCACTCGTTCAGCTGCTTTATCGTCAGCATGTTAGGACTGCTGTATCTGGGTTCGTCGACCGCTTTCAACAGTATGGTAACGGCATGTATAGTGCTACTGTACGTCTCCTATGTCATCCCGATTATTTGTCTACTGATAAAGGGACGGAATAACATCAAGCATGGACCCTTCTGGCTAGGTCCTTTTGGACTATTTGCGAACATCGTGGTGTTGGCGTGGACCCTTTTTACCATTGTGATGTATTCATTCCCATCGGTTTATCCGGCTGAGGCTGCGAGTGAGTATCCCCCCGCATAATTCCCTTTCTTCTAGATTTATTGAGACATTAATGTTCCTGTCTTTACTTATAGCCATGAATTACGTTTCCGTCGTCTACTTTGTGGTGGCGGTAATAATTGTCATTGATTGGGTTGTGCGTGGCAGGCGAGAATATCGTGGCCAGGCTGCCCGGCACGAGGAGGTTGAGGAGCATCTCCATAGACAGTCAAGTGTAGTACGATGAAGGGATTAGATTTACCGGGACTTCCTTTTCTCTTCTATTCGTAGAACATTTTCTAGTTTTCTCGCGTACATAAAAATAAACTAATGAGACCTGGAAGGTGGTGAAAGCTACTAGGATGGTCAGTACGTCAAAAAGGGGGGTATATTTCCACCCACTCTGGCTTTTTGTCTTCTTTGTTTTCCATCCAGACCAGATGCCAACAATAAACTAAGAAACAAGAGAATCAGGTCCACTTTTTATTCTGGAAAAATATTGCATAGAAGCCTGTTAGAAGGCCAGGTGAAACAATGTTGGGACGAGATGTTTCTGAAACTATCATTGAAGATGGAGAACAATGAAGTCATCCATGAAATATATTCAAACAAACAAGTCTAAGCTCATATATGACCCCATCAACATCTCTGTATCAATTCCCAGCATGAGAATCCAGCCCCTACATCCTATACTAAACAAGTCATATAGAAATCGATACCCGCCGTCAAAATAAAGCTTTTGAGCCTCCCTGTTAAGCCTATCTGGTCTACTAGCGTCTCGTGGCCCCTGCCAAGCCCCAGCCCTATGCGGTGGTGATCGACAACAACATCAACATCGCCAACTCCAACTCCAACTCCAGTTCCCCGCCATTGCCTGCCTGTCACTATCAAAACAGCGCAGCCCTGCCTCCCATCGTCTTCACATGCCGCATATCCAGCGGTATATAACCCCGGCTGCCCAACCCGACCCTCGCCAGCCAATCTTTCAATGTCCACATCGACACCCCCCACCAACACCACTGCTACTCCAACTGCACATATCCGGAACAATAGTAATACCACCACCGCCAACGATAACCATTCCCAGCCTTTCAATGACAACGCAACAACCACCTCCCAACATCCTCCATCCTCAGCCTCCCTGCTGCATGCCACCTTCGCCCTCGCAGACCCAGACCTAGCCTCAACTTTTGACTCGGACTCGGACTCCGAATCCATCCACGAGGCATCTGCGTTTCTCCACCCAATGGATTCCGAGCAGGAACGGCATAAAGAGGACCAGGCAGGTGCTGCGCTGGGTCAGGCTGCGGAGAAGACACTGCCATGGTGGAAGCGGAAGAGATGGATGGTAGGGATCGGTGGGGGTGCGGTGTTGTTGGTGTTGTTGATTGTGTTGTTGGCTGTTTATGGGGCGCGGGGGGAGTTGGGAGGAAAGGGGGGGAGTGGTTTAGATGGGGCGGGAGGGGATGGAGAGGCTGATAAGGGGAGGACGAGGGATGGGGTGAGTACTAAACTTTTTTTTGTTGGAGTGTTATTTTGGGACAATTGTATTTGGTTTGGGGATTGGATTGTTTGGCTTTGGTTGGGTTATCTATGGATAGAATCATGTATGTGCTAACCCGTTATTTTCTCCCAGTTATCGAAACCGTGGTATCCAACACCACGAGGCGGCACGACTGGTGGCTGGGCTGAAAGCTACGAG